GCAGCGGCAGCGTGGGGGAAGGAGAGCAGCGGTCCTGCCCGGAATTCTGATCAGTTTTCATCTCTTTTTAAGAATTGTCATGCAGGCGGCTCGCGGTGCCGGAGAGATGCTGCTCGGGGGGAGCAGGAGCAAGCAGGGTACAGATGCGTCAGGAACCCCCTTCGGTCTGATCGTGCAGGCAGAGCACCGGCACAAGGGGCAGGGCCCAGCCGGCCCCCACTTGCCCTGAGCTTTTATTCTGAGTCCACAGGCACTTATTTGCAGAACAGCATCATGCTGGCTGGGAGAGAGACCAGATACCCAGATGTATTACAGAAAACCCCAGAAGCCGGTGGCTGTGGCTAGACCGATTCACACTGCAGCGTGAGCAGCGGTGAGTGGTGTTAACTCACCCCAGGGGCCCTCCGGGCCCCCCCGGCCCCGTGCTGCGATGTGCTGGTGGAGGCTGCGCTCAGGTGGGCCGAGGCAGCTCTGGCTGTGCGTGCGCGGGGTCAGAGCAGGCAGCGGCGATGGCCCCTCGAGCCCTGTTGTCTGAGAGCCCATCGCTCAGAGTCCAGCAGAGCTTTTAGCATCTCCTAATGGCCACGCTTTGACACCTGACAGCCGCTGCCCGCTGCCGGGCTGCCTGACCCAGCGCTGCAGGGGTTGTCCTGGCTGAGGCGGCACCAGCGGGCTGTGGGGCAGCTGAACACCACGGTGTGACGGGGCTTGGTGCTGGCCTGGGGCTCCAGCGCCGTTTGCAAGGTAGAAGGACTTTTACACGCTGCTCCTTCTCCCGTTATCCAGGCAGCCCTGCCTCAGCTTCGCCCTCCTCGCTGAGGAGTCAGAGCTGCCTCTTCCCCTGTCCTGCAGTGCCACAGGCAACAGGTTCAGGGGTTCGCTGCGATCCTCCTGGTCCCGGCCAAGCCTCCTGGCCCAAGGAGGAGCGGTAACGACAGCCCCGGGACAGCCTCCAGAGCGTCACCCCCACTGCCAGCTCAGGACCCAACGTGCCCCTCTGCGGGGAAGGGAGACCTGCAGCGTTCCTGCGGGGAGCTGGCACGGGAGCATCGGAGCCCGTACAGCCCTTTCAGGCTTTACCGTGGTGTAAAATGAAGGTTGGGATAAAGCAAGAAGGCGAAGACCTGCGTTCTCCCATCCTGGCGGAGCAGGACAGTCAATACAGAGCTGGCACGAAGGAGAAGCACTGCCCGAGCACCAAGGGACGAGTCCGAGGACCCTGTTGCTGCTTGATGTCTTTGAGCACAGAATTAGCAGGAGGGACCAGACACCTCTGTGCGTGTTAACCATGTCTAGAATTGCCACTAACTACAGAGACTGGGAAGAAATATTAAAACTTTCTGCTTCAGGACTTCATTAAATCCGGAGTGATTGGAATCAGGAGGAAAGGAGCATGGGCAGAGAGTCCCCGAGCTGGCTGAGAGACCCTCAGCCCTTCTGGGGGTTCCCGTTACTGCGGGGTGTCAGACCGGGCGCTGGCCATGCCGCTGCTCTGGCTGTTGGCACAGGACAGCAAGCAGCAGGGTAAAACATGGTCTGCAGCTGGTGATAGCATCCCTTAAAAAGGAAGTGCTTACAGATTACTAGCTATAACTGATGATAAAATAACTGTTTTGTGGAACAAGGAACAGAAGAGTAACACATTGATTTTGGTAATTAACGGTTCAATAGAAACCTGTTCTGGGAGCGCCCCAGGCAGAGTCACTGGGTTGGAAGTGCCTTTATTCCCTGGTCTCAGATCTTTCCCTCTCTCCGCCGCCGTGTTCTCCCAGGCCCACGGCACAGCCCCAAAACAGCCACAGGCGCTGGCTTCTCCATGCAGGCTCCCCCGCTTCTGGGGGCTCCTCAGGCTGGGGCTTGGTCTGTGCTCCATGCTCATCCCAGTCCCTGCTGGCGGTGGGGTGCTCCCCCTCCTCAGCCTCAACCCGAGAGCGGCCGCGGGGAGCCCCCAGCAGCCCCCAGCCCCCTCCTGGCTCAGCCCCCGGCTCCTCCTTCCTTCCACTGCTGTCTCACATCAGGATCAAGACCCACTTTCTGTGCAAGAAATTTTAGCATTTCAGTTCCAAGTTTGTTAAGCCATATTTAAAAAAAAACCCAACCATCATCAGGAAATTTTACACAGCCACGCTTATATTTTGTGGGCGACGCAGAAAGGCCTGGGGTGTGTGCGAAGGCCAGCGAGCGGGACAGTGCAGCGGGGACACGGCTGCGGTGGGTCACATCCCGAAATGGAGGGTCAGCCCCTGCCAGAGACGTGCTGCTGAGCGACGGCGATTCCTGTGGGGTACAAGCACCAGTCAGGACCGCACAGGGACTGAGAAGTGGGGTGATCCCCAGTGCAGCCCTGGGAGTTTGAGGGATGCCCGTGCAGGGTCGGCCGCCGGCCGCTGCTCCCCGCAGCCAGTGGTGCAGGTGCCAGGTGGCTGCTGCCCTCAGGCCCTGACCACGCCGTGGGCCTTGCTGTGATGTGGGCAGCTAGAAAAGATGCTTCCTTCCCACTGGGCTGTTAAATCCGGGTGCTGGATCCCCCCCAGGAAAGTCAGTCTGTAATTCTGCAGCATCTGCAGTCCCTGAGTGCTTGCATCCCTCTTAATTTGTTCAGGCTTTTCTTAAAGGAAAAATACCTGAAGATGCATCATTCCAACTGATCCTTGTTCCCTGCATATCGCTGCTACGCAATGGCTGGTGCAAGGCAGGGCCAAGGCGCTGAAGTGCTCTGGGCAGAAACGGGACTGCAGACACCCCACCATGCTCTGGGGAGCTGCAGCCCTGCTCCCCTACAAGACCTCCGTTGCCAGGACTCAGATTTGTCAACAGGGAAGATGCTGACTGCAGGAGACAGGCAGCCACAGGACCCTGCTGACTCTTCACCCAAAAATGCTGAAGGCACGAGCAGCCTCAAGCCCACCTTTGCTCCTGCCTTGCCAGGAGATCCAGCGCCTCCTCCAGCACCTCGGCAAAACGAGCCCGGCTGGATGGATGAGCAGTGAGCAGTAAATACTCAAATTACGGGGAGGGTTAAAGCAAGCTGATGCATTTAGCAGTCACAAATACGAGGCGACACTGACAGGCAAATGTAGCTGGGCCTTCCCTGACAGGCACTTCTGCTTGCAGACTTCAGCTGCGTAATTCCTGAAATGGCTGGTTCCTGGGGCTCGGCGGTTTGACGTCAGCGTCGCTGCGGTCGCCAGTGCCCAAGGTGCTCTTACAGAACTATTTCCAGCCTATTCACATTGTTTCCTCACCATATGTTTGTCCTAAAAATAGTTGCAACATGAAGGGATAATCCTGCAAGACCCTGAGCATCACCAGCCTCCGTGTCTGCTGCAGAGGGCCTGGCCCGAGCCCCACGCGCTTGCCGGGGGCCGTGACACCACTCCGGCTCTGTCCCCGGCGTCAGGCACCACGGCTTCGGGGCAAATTAGCCAGTGACAGGTTAAACGAACTGTGCTTCACGTGGGTGTGCCCGGGCACCAGGATTTGAAAAGCTTAAGATAAAAATACTGTTGAAACACACTGAAGCAGCACTTGACACTGCGCCGGTAAAACCTCTGAGCAGGGGAGGGGTCACTGCTGGCACAGGGTCACTGCTGGTGCGAGGGTGAGGTCACTGCTGGTGTGAGGTCACTGCCGGCACAGGGTCACTGCTGGTGTGAGGTCACTGCTGGTGCGAGGTCACTGCTGGTGCGAGGTCACTGTTGGTGTGAGGTCACTGCCGGCACAGGGTCACTGCTGGTGTGAGGTCACTGCTGGCGTGAGGTCACTGCTGGTGTGAGGTCACTGCTGGTGTGAGGTCACTGCCAGCACAGGGTCACTGCTGGTGCGAGGTCACTGCTGGCGTGAGGTCACTGCTGGTGTGAGGTCACTGCCGGCACAGGGTCACTGCTGGCGTGAGGTCACTGCTGGCGTGAGGTCACTGCTGGTGTGAGGTCACTGCCGGCACAGGGTCACTGCTGGTGTGAGGTCACTGCTGGCATGAGGTCACTGCTGGTGTGAGGTCACTCCCACGGCTTTCGGGATCCAGCCAAGTTCCCTCTGGGGCCTCTCCACTGCAGAAGAGGTCCGGTGCTGGTGCCAGTGCCGGTGCCGGTGCCGGAGCAGAGCCCGGCGGAGCAGGGGCACGGGGCAGGGCTGGGGCTGCCGTGGTGTGCCCAGTGGAGGGGTCGGTGCCTGGCTCGTGGCGCTGCCCTCTAGCCTCCCCGGCACCCGGCGGCTGAGGAGGTGTGAGCAAGGCTGGGCTGCTCTTGCAGGAGACGTTTAATACCTTCCGGCTTGCTATGATAATCTTTAACTGGGGGCAGCTGGGACAAGCATTTACCTCTTCATTTTCTTAGATATAAATGCTATCTCTCTGCAGTTTCATTTTACAATATGGTAATATGCTATCCAGGAAAGTCTTGCTACATGCTAATTTATCCAGTAGGCAAATTCCTTTTGGCTAATAAAAGTGCTTGCACAGGAAGCTCAAAACCCAGCAGCAATTAATTATTGACAGAGCATGTGAATTAGAGATAAAAGAAAAGTCATTCTTTCTCACACACAAGATAGTAAATAAATTTAATTATTGTACTAGAAGCAAGGGATCTTATTCTGTATTAAGTTTTATTAGCTGAGACATTTAAAAGCATGTCATCATAACAAAAAGGTCTTGTGTAATCCTAACTGCACCACTCTGGTACAAGGCTCTGAAGTGAATAGGCTTAATTGAGCAAATGGAAGCAGATGGCTTGCTGAACAGACAGGTATTGTACAGGTTTATTGTCAATTAACTTTTGTCTACATATGCCTATGGCGAGTCGGCTGTGTAATGTGTTACTGAGGCCGATTAACACTTCAGGCACCCACCACGTCCAGGGTCCGGGAAGAAACAAATCCAGAAGTGCTTTGGTCCCTGGGGCCGCCGGCGGGGCAGCCGCCCTCCTCCCGAACGTGCGGGAGGGACGCCGAGGTGTCCCCCCTGCCTGGCCCTTGCTAACCGCCCCTCCTCTGCTTCTGCGCAGGAACGTGATGCCCAAGACGCTGGAGGGCCAGATCACCATGGAGAAGACCCCCAGCTACTTCGTGACCAACGAGGCCCCCAGGCGCATTCACTCCATGGCCAAGGACACGAAGCTGATCGTGGTGGTGAGGAACCCGGTCACCCGGGCCATCTCGGACTACACGCAGACGCTCTCCAAGAAGCCGGAGATCCCCACCTTCGAGGTGCTGGCCTTCAAGAACCGGACCCTGGGGCTGATCGACGCCTCCTGGAGCGCCATCCGCATCGGGATATACGCCCTGCACTTGGAGAACTGGCTCCAGTACTTCCCCCTCTCCCAGATCCTTTTTGTCAGTGGTGAGAGGCTCATCACTGATCCAGCCGGGGAGATGGCCAAGGTCCAGGACTTCTTAGGCCTCAAGAGGATTGTGACAGAGAAACATTTTTATTTTAATAAAACCAAGGGGTTCCCCTGTCTAAAGAAGCCAGAGGACAGCAGCGCTCCCCGGTGCTTGGGCAAGTCCAAGGGTCGAACTCACCCCAAAATAGACCCAGATGTCATCCACAGACTGCGGAAGTTTTACAAACCCTTCAATGTCATGTTTTACCAAATGACAGGCCAAGATTTCCAGTGGGAGCAGGAAGAAAGTGATAAGTAGAACCACAAAATTGGGAAAAAGTTGTTTTCTTTTGAGATGCAAATCTTCATTAGAGACCCAAACTTGCTCGGGGCTGGAGGCTCAGCCTTGTGAGCGCAAGACTCTTGCGCTGTCAGGGATGCAGCCAAAGCCGCCCCGCGTTTCCAGCTCTGAAACCTTAGTGGCATGTCACCTCGCGTTGCACTTGGGCTCTTCCCACCATGACTCTGAGGGGTCAGGGGCGGGTGGGAGGAGGAGGAGGAGGAGGCAGAGGGCGCGGGGCTCCTCAGGGCGATGGGATGCTTTGTGTTGACACTTTGCTGCTGGTGTCCCCCACACAACCCCGCAGGCAGGGCCAGCACCTCCCGCCGCAGCCAGCTGGGCGCAGGGTGGCTCACAAAACCCAGCAGCACTGGGCCAAACCCATAGGTGTGATTTCTCCTGCCCTGGCTTTTAGTTCTGCCCAAACAGCAGCATCAGATCTGGTAAATTCGGGACGTGCATTCAGATGCACACTGGTATTTGTGTGTGGAAGGAATAAAGCCAGTTATGCTGCAAAGAAACTATGTACAGAAACTTCATTTGCACCAGATGTTTTAATTACCTGTTGCACTAAAACTAGTATTTACCAAGTGCCACAAAACACCTGGTCCCGATTCTCCTCCGACTGGTGGGTGTGTCATCTCCACTGGAAGAGAGTCGTTCCTGCTTTGCTGGGATGCTCAGTGAGATGGGAACCGGGGCCTCCCGCGGGCCCCCCGGCTCCTCCTGGAAGCCGTGCCGCTGAGGCGAGGTGCGGAGCCCCCACGGCAGCTCCCGCCGAGGCCGTGCTGTGCCCTGCGCTTTGGAGGGAACCGAGGGAGTGACTGCAGGGCTGGGGGGGACAGCCCCAGCGGAGGGTCTGGGCAGCGCTGAGCCTTGGGGTCCCTGGCACTGCCCTTCATTTACACCTTGAGAACAAAATCTCTGCTGCGTGGGGTGGACAGCCGGGTTTGCAAAATGGGGAGCAGCCTTCATCTTTACTTCAGAATTACAAAAAAGCGATTAATTCCCAGTGTGAGCACTGCTCTGCGCAAAAAATGTGTGCTTTCTAGTGGAAATGACCACATCGACCACAGCTGTAAATCCTGGCAGAAACTGTAGAATAAACCCACATCCCACCTGGAACCTCCAGCAGTGTGATGAGAGCTGCGTGCTGGAAGCAGCGGAGCCGCCCAGCAGCGCTTCGGCACAGCTGCCCTGCTTCCACCTCCATTACTGAGAGGAAAACAGTAAGCGAGGGAACAAAAGGAAAAATGCAGAGCTACTGTTGCTAAAATGCTCCCTCCGCATGGGTGGTTTCTCAGGGCACTCGGAGCTGCCTGGCCGTGTTCTTTGTTCTAACCAGTGGTCAGGATGTGTCCCGGTGGAGCGTAGCTGGTGCGAGTGCCCCATCCCTGTCCGGGGGCAGGTCCCTGCCTGTCGGAAGGCGGCAGAGATGGAGTGTGAGATGTCTGTGGGAGGACCAGGACTCAGTTTCGATTAAGGTGGCAAGAAATCCCTACTGATCCAGCTAACCAAATGAAATCACTGTTACGTCGGGTAACAAGCTGAACCTGCTTTGGGTTTCATGGCCTGTCGTGTGGTTCATTACGCCATGAAGTGGTGCTGGTGCCTTGGATTGGATGAAAAAAGAGCTGAAGCCATTTAGAAAATTTACACCGTGGGCCGTGCTGGAGGGGCACTGCAAGGTCTCTGCTAACGTCATGTCAGTTCCTATTAGCCTGATTAGATTTAAAAACAGCTCTCGACACAACACAGATTTTCACAGACCCACAAATCCCCAAATTATTACATGAAAACTGGAAGTATGTAATAGGAATAATTTTACAGCGTTTCACACGTTATTAAAATCTCAGATCAGCTCCTAAGTGAAAACTGTTGTTACACAGTTTGGTGCAAGCTGCTTGATGGATTCGGTTGGAGGACGAGGGGCTCATTGAGGCCCAGTGTCTGGGCTCCTCAGTGGAGGGGTACCCCGAAATTTTTGCCCATTCCCGGTGTGCTGCGGCCCTGACGGAGCTGCAGAAGCAGGACGGTGGCCCTGGGCGCCTGCGGAGGGTCTTGGTGCCAGGGGGACGCCAGCCCTGCTCGCGGCCCGGCCAGGAGCCGCCGGGCTGGCTGTGGCTGCCAGTGTGACCCTGGCCATCGCCTCCATCGCCAGAGCTTGGATTCTCTCCGTCTTCACCCACAGCTTAACCAGGAGCAGCTGAGCGTGAACGAGCGCCTGAGACCCCCGTCCCCTCCCAGAGGGTCTCCCTGCCCTCAGGCCGGCCTCTCCCCGCAAGAGCCCCCGGTCCCCGACTGCCGTCAGGGCCCTGTCACGCTGGAGGGACAGGGGATCCAAAAACGTCTTTGTCAGAATTGCACCCGAAGAGCAGGGGGGTCCGGGCCGGGGCACCCATCCTGCAGCGGCCGCGGCCCAGCAGGGCCACGCGATGTTTAACGGCCGCGGCCGGGCCGGGGAGGTGCTGGGCCTGCCCCGGCTTAACCCGCCTGCCCGACACCCGCGCCCGTTCCTTCTGCCGTGCGTTCAGAAGTTTTTTATACCCGTTTGGGAGGAGCTGCCGAGCGCCCGGCAGGAGAGGAGGCCTCGCTCTTCCTCCCCCTGTCTCTTATA